AGGTAAGAGAATTTAACATAATCGAGGTAATGATTAAATATTAATCATAAAAAAGGTCACGTGCGATTCGATAGACCCTCACTTGATTAGGCAAAGTTTTGTTTGGTTGATTGCTTATAAATGTAGTCTTTTTCACCACCGTTCCCGTAGTTTCACGGATACGAGACTATTCTTCCTTTTTATGTAATACGAAAGGGCACACTCTGCATTTAGTACTTAAACTTTTAGTTTTTTTAAATTCATACCTAACATTTAGTTTTTTTCATTTTGACACTGCATTTTTATGGGAAAATTACATTATACACTATTCAACTATCTTTTCACTACTATTTTGGTACTATTGTTTAAAAAATTTCAATTTAACTACTCAACTTTCAAATTACTCTTATTTTAATCACTCTAATTTATTTTTTATTTTTTTAATTACTAATTTGACATTTAGTACTATTGTTTATGGGAAAATTTGACATTTTGAAAATGACATTTTTTATTTTTTTAATTAATATATAATTAAAAATTTAAAAATAAATTTGAAAGCTAAAGTGATTAAATAAGGAGTAATTTGAAAGTTAAGTAATTAAATTAAAAAAATTAAACTTTAGTTACCAAAATTTGATTGAGAAGATAGTTGAGTGTTGAACGATGCAATTTACCCATAGAAAAGGTGCTAATGCAAATCACCCTTTAGGTTTTTAACAGCGAGATACTAAAATGAAACATAAACTAAACGTTATGTATGATTTTGAAAAAAAATAAAAGTTTAGGTACTAAAACAAATTAAAACTGATAATTTAATACTAAACATTTATTTTACCCATAAAAAATTAAAAGTGATTATTTATTTATTGAAAAAACTGCATGTTTAGTATCTCAACTATCACTTTTATTCTTTTTTGGTCATCTAACTATTTTTAAAGTAATATCTAAAATTACTTTTTGATTTTATTTTTGTCATCTACCATTAAAAAATTAACAAAACTAATAATGTAGCATTTTCCAATTTATTCAAAGATAACGTGTCATTATCTTATGCTGATACATTAACATCACCATTCATTTTTTAACGGTGAGTGAGCAAAATGAAACTAATTTAAAAAAAAATAGGTGGGTGATGAAAACAAAACAAAAGTGATAGTTGGTATACTAAACATAGAGTTTACCCTTATTTATTTATCCTTGACGAATTTAAGAGGCGCGTGAGAGACAAGAATCAATGATGATGGGAACTGTCTGTGCGGAAGGTCTACGTTGCGGGGACCACGTGGAAAATTCCAATTCTCATCCTAATCTTATTGAAACAATTATTAAAAAGTTTGTTGTTTTAATTTTGATGATGTTAACAGCTTGACGAAATGCCACCGATTTCAAATATTACCGCTAAATAATTCATTACTTAGATAACAGTTAATTAATATATATCATCATTTAATTAAAGATTAAATTTTATCAAATTAAATGGTAAAGTATATAAATAATTGTTTGATTATAAGGTATTATTTTGTTAAGTCTATGATTATTAAAAGTTACAAAATGATTCATTTACTATAAGATATTCATTGTTAAATCCCTCAACTATTAAAAGTTACAAAATAGTCGTCTGACTATTTATATATTCCAGACTCGTCTTTTTTTGTGAAAAAATATGCGGTCATTTGAGATTGACGTTAACATGCTCACCAGGATATGATAAAATATGATCCTATAACTGTTTGAGTTGTATTTTGAGGATGAAACTTCTGTTTTCATTATATGGTTGAGCCAGTGTTTGAAAACAACAACAGTGCTATTAGACATCATTAAAATACAATTTTATCATATCTCAATCAACATGTTAACGTGCAGCTCAGACGACCATCAATTTTTTTAATTGTAAAAGGACAAGTTTAGAACATATGAATAATCGGATAATCATTTTGTACATTTTAATAGTCAGGGGACTCAACAAAGTGACGTTCTAAAATCAAGGATCATTTTGTAACATTCAATAATCAAGGACTCAACAAAATTGAACCATTTAATTGGGGATTATTTATGTACTTTGCCATAAATTAAATAAAATTATGATTAAGTTAATAGAATATATAAGTAATGAGGACTAAATATTTAATTATATTTTTTAACAATTACGCCAATTCTTCTGTTTAATGTTAACAGTTAATGGTTTGATTGTAACACTTGAATAATTAAATAATATGGTTGATAATATTAAAAGATCAAGGGTTAAAATGAAAATAAGTAATCATTAATGGTCATGAATATAGTTTACCTACTTTTTTTTAAACATTAGCTATAATATATTTATTAGACAAATAAAGTAGTATCAACAATCTCTTATCATATACATATGAGATAAACACATTTATAAGTATCATAAACATACTAGAGTGGATAAGGAATGTGCTTTATTGTAATATTCAGTTTAAAATTAGCTGACTCTATTCCCATATGTAATGGGGTAAGAGGGAGGTAGAGTAGTAGGCTGCTCCCAACGCTAGGTTGAGAGCAGCTTCCGTGGAAGACCTCCGGCAGTCAGAATTATGAATTGCCTACCTCGATCCCACGACCACAAGGTTAAGAGCCTTACGCTCTATCAACTGAGCTGGACAGACAATTCATTATTGTAATATCCAGTTTAATTATTCTAAAACTTTTATGAAGTAACGTACGACCCATCTCCAATTATATCAATTGTAATGGGCCTCTACGTTGGGTTATTGACTTATTATGAATTTAGGTCTGATTTTTCATTTTAAGTAAATCAAGTGCGTGAACATATAAAATGAACTAAAACATAAATAAATGTAATAATTGTCAGCATTTTAATATTATTCGTAGGTACCAACCAAGTAATATCTATGATAAAGATATTATTGTTATTCTTTTTGGATTCGGGTTCCAGCACCATAAATGTCATGGTTGTAAACGTTCAATATCAAGAGATTGAAAGTTATATTTGAATAGATATTGCCTTATATTTATTACATATTAATCAAAAAATATTACTGATATAAAAATTTTCACTCTCAATATACTTAATAATAATCAGAGATAGATCAATAGGATGCTGGGATGCAGCTGTATCTTAGAAAATTTTAATCCTCATATAATCTAGGTATTATTTTTTTTTATACTGATGATATAAGACCACATTTTCTAAATTTCTAATATAATATCCTAAGTGAGTATCTCCTGACATGAATTCGTACCTAATAATAATCTAATATAAATTATAGGCTTAAGAATACTTGAAGCCATCAACCTTTTGGGAAAAAAACCAATTAAGGTCATGATTTTTTCTTTCGTTCAATTAAATTCTCAAACCAATAAATTAAATCAGTCAAGTACTCGAATGAAAAAACTAAATCAATTAAACCTCAAATAAAAAAATTAAACCGATTAAGTTATTTGAATTTTTTTACTATTATGTCTTAATTTTTTTTTCGTGAGAGATTAATACCATATAGTACACTGATAATATGCCATATAGAATTTGTAGAATATATAAAGAAAATCTAAAACAAGTCATTAAAATTCTAAACATTATTAAAAATTAATAAATTTCTAGAATTTTCACTTAATAATATTATGGCATGGCATGTGATATAAATTAATCTAAATATATATTAGATTTAATTATCAATATTGATTTAAAGATAAATCGATAAAAATTTAAAGTATAAAAGATTTAATTAAGTACAATTTTCTTTCGAAAAACTTAATTAATTTCTGAATAAATGTTTAGAATTTCGAGCACCTTAAACCTAAACTCTAAATATACTAAGAATAAATAGAATCGCTAACAACTTTAACTTAATAATAGATGTATTTAATTAATATTTAAATAAATAATTAAGAATACATCCCAATATATTAAAGCAACCTAAAAAAAATCTATATAAACACAAAATTCGAAAGCAACCTGTGATATTTAAAATATTATTTTGTGTGTGGATAATCTCGGGGATTCCAAAAGGTATAAAGAGGTCATGCACCCAACGCATGAGAGTAATGGATTTACCATTCCAAATAAGCAACTTTTATATATTCTTTAAGTAATCTTTTTTATATTTAAATGTTATTCTTTTTACTTTCCTTTTTTATATATATAGAATTCGAATCACCTGATTAGTGCATGAAAACACTTGCAACTGTTATTTTTAGCCTCCCTGCTGGTTCCCAATTTTTTTATTTTTATTTTTACATACGTTTTCACCTAATATTTCCTTTATTAAAGTTATCTTTTTTATATATATATAAAGGAATGATTTACTTATATAAGTGTCAATTAGTATAGTTTTACATACTTTCATGACTCATTGCACTATTAATATTCTACTAATTGGATTATTGTATTTATTACGTAAAATTTCAAATTAATCTGATATCTCTATTTTATGCATTGAGAATACTGTTAAAAGGTAACCAAATTCTCAATTTTTTAAAATTAAATATTTATTATTTTATAACAGGTAATGAAACCAAAAAAAAAAACTATACAATCGAATTCATATATAATAATTATCCTATATATATATATTGTTTAGATTCTCTTGAATACTCAACACAATATTCGGAAAAAATTCTTCATTATCTTCTCTTTAAAAAGTCAGAAGCTTTGATTTATAAGTTTGGATCAATATATACACACAGGTGAATCATACTCAATCACTCCAACTCAGTTAAATACCAATCAACTTACATCAAACTCAGTTAAATACTCAGTCGATTCATTATGTTGAACATAAATATCACTTAGAATTAGAAAAGAAAAAGGGAAATTAAAGAAAGAAAAGAAAAGGGTCCCAAGAAGCAGCTATGGTGGATCAGCAACTCATCTCGCCTTGTCAGAGCACTTCTCTTTTAACTAGGACTTGTAAGACTTCCTTTTACTTTTTCTTCCACTTTTTCTTCTCTCAATAATCCATCCATTATAATTTATCCTTTTAATGCCCCCTTTATTTATTTATTTATTTATTGTTTAGTCCTTTAATGTTCCTTCATCAGAGCTTATTCTTTTCTGAACAAACAAGTAACAATGGCGGAGTTTGGTTACGAACAACTTGTGGAAGCCACCCAAAGTTTCTCTCCGTCGAGGCTGATCGGGAAAGGCAGTCATGGAGCGGTCTATCAAGGCATTCTTCTAGATAATCAAGTGGTTGCCGTGAAGAGGCCATCGATCAATGGCGTCGAGGCGCAACGTGACAACTTGAAGAAGCTGGATAATGAAATATCCATATTGTCATCTTTAAGTAAAAGTTCTAATGTCATCGGCTACCTCGGAGCGAGTCACGGCTCGGCCGAGAAGAACGACAAGCTTCTGGTCATGGAGTTGATGCCTAATGGTTCTTTGCATGACTTGTTACACGTCGCCGTCACGCCTCCGTCGTGGCCTAAACGTGTGGAAGTCGCTATGCGAATCGCGAGGGCGGTTCAGTTTTTACACGAAGGCAAGCCTTTGGTTATCCATAGAGATATCAAATCGGATAATATCTTGTTCGATTCGAACTGGACTGCTAAACTGGCTGATTTCGGACTCGCGATCTCGCCGGCGGACTCGTCGAGTCAGGCCTCTCAGCCTGCCGGTACGATCGGGTACTTGGACCCTTCTTACACTTCCCCTAACGAATTAAGCACTAAAAACGACGTGTTTAGTTTAGGGGTTGTGTTATTAGAAATCATTAGTTGCAGAAGAGTTATTGATCTCACAAAAACACCGGCTTCCATCGTTGAATGGGCGGTTCCGTTGGTGAAAAAGCAAAGAATGGTCAAAATCTACGACCCCAGGATTCCATTTCCGACGTACATGATGGAGAGCATGATAAGGAGAATACTGAGCGTGGCGTCACGTTGTTTATTAGACGACCACGAGCGCCGTCCTCCGATTGGAGAAATTGTCGTGGCAATGGAGACTTGTTCCGTTGAACGAGTCAGACTGGGGAATATGACCGCGTGGACAGGCGTTTTAAATTATTTGGTTCAACTCAAGAGGCTGCGAAAGGTGAGTAGGAAATGCAGCAGGGTGGTTTATTCGACCCAACAAGGTGATGTGAATAGCGGTTATGTTAATTCGACGGGGAAAGTAGTGTTGCTAAAGGAGATATTAGCTGGCAGATGTTAGATTGAAATGAAGTTTTGTTTTTGTGAAGGATGAGTTGACTCGGTTTGTGATATGAGTTGAGGGAGATGAGTCAATGGTTTCTGGTTTTGGCTTTGTGGATATGGAATGCAGGTTTTAATAATTAAAAAAAATACAGGCATTCCAAGCAGAAGGTTCCCAAAAAGTTGGTAGCCTGAAAGCTTTGTTGGATGCCCCCTCTTCATGTCTTTTTCTCCATTCCTTTTCTTTTATTTATATATATAAAAGCGGATTTGAATATATAAAAATAAACGTTAAGATTAACGGTAGATAATGAGAATATATTCATAAAAAATATAATTTTAATAATTACTCATATAACGATCATAAATGATATAAAATTAAAAAATTTACACTAAACGTAAGTGGATAATACATTAATAATATTGTTGATTTCATCTACTAATATTTTAATGATATATCATTTATAATACATTGATTATATATAAGTTATGCACTTGTAATATATCAGACATTTGTACTTTGTATAAAAACAATTAAGAAGATGGAAGGAAGCATAATGAATTTATTAAGAATATAGAGGTGTGAGATTATAAAATTTTAGGGGTGTAAAATTAAATTATTATTAAAAATTTAAAAATATCTAAATTACATAAATTCAAAAATTTTCAAAAAATATGATGTTATATCAACATCCTTTAATCTATCTCTGGATATAATGATGGACTGACAATAAAAAATTTAAATGATTCATATATTTTAGAAATTTTTATTTGTATTTCCTAATAATAATTTTTTTTTTTAATTTTGGAAAATCAACACTGTTATAAGATAATAGAAATGCAAGAGAATGAATAAAGTGAAGGGTTGGAAATATGAAAGCAAAGGTAATGGACATTAAAATATGTTTTTGGGCATCACATTTTGAACATTAGTTGCTTGGTAGGGAAGATGTATCTTTCGGCACGTAAGCATTGTGCAACTGTCCAATTAGTTACTTATTCTTAGAATTGTGCTTTAAGATTTCCTTTTCTAAATAAAAAATTAAATCAAGTAATCTGTAAAATAAAATAAAATAAACTTTAACCATGATGTTTTTGATTGTTGAATGACTAAAATGAAGTAGATCCTAATTTTGGTGACTTGTTTGATTTCCTTTTCAATGATCAAAATGAAAAATTTTAATAGTTGAGAGACTAATTATATGATTTAGTCTAAAAGGAATATATATTATTAGAATGTGTTTGGAAAGCCTCATGTAATTGAATTTGTATATGATTGAAGGTAATTATACACGTGAGATTTGTTTCATCAATTATTATAATTTATGACTCTTGAATGTAATTAGAGGCATTCAATTACATTTTTTCTATTCTTCTGATCGCCATAATAAATGTAATAATGCGACTAAACATACTTTTTTTCTTAGTTGAGTTTAATATCAATAATAATGGGTGAATATTCGTTCGAGCCGAATTGATTTTTTTTTGAGTTAATGGAGTTGATGAATGTTCTTTTATAACTCATGTTTTATTCAAAGTTTTTTGAGTGTTTATGAAATTTAAATCGAATTAAGTTAAGTCAAGATGTTTGAATTTATTCTTAAATTTATTGTAAATATTTATAATGTTATGATACTAATTGATTCTAATTTAAACGTTTTTTATAACCACATACAACATAAATATATATTTCTTAATATATATATATATATATATATATATATGTATATCATTCAAAGTTGAGTGACTCGACTTGTACTTAATAATTATTAAAATTTTTAAGTTAATAATTTTTTTATTCAACCTTTATTTAATTTTTAGATAAATTAAATTTATAAAATTATGAATCAAATTCAATTAATAGTCAGGTTTTTGTTATTAAAAATAAAATATTTTAGATTGAGCAATTTTTGCTCATCCCTGATCAACGGTTAACCTATTACCAACTTAGTAGGAAAATTGCAAAATTACCTGACCCAAGCCTTCTCTTCTCTTTCCTTCAAGTTTCCGACACACGAGGGAATTAAACAAGTTGATTTCTGAAACCCTAAAATTAACTCCAAAATTGATTTCTAATCGTGTCATGATATTTGGTTTTCTGTTTTCGGTTCTACTGCTTTGTTACTCTGTCTCATCTGCACCCTCTCTTTTGAAGGAGAATTTTTTCACAGTTACCGGTATAGCAAATATCTCCACTATTTTCCTTTACTCTGCTATTTGCGGCCGCGATCCGCTGCTATTTGGTGTGAAATTTGTTCACACCGCTATTTAGGTTCTTCAAAGGTGGCGGACGGCGCCTCTACTGTGAAATAGCGGCCGCGACACTGCTACAGAAAACCTAGTAATCGTAAAGGCAACGGATGGAGATGCAGTACGCTCACAATATATTTGAGAGACGGCCTCTTCTCAAATCTAAGGCTCCTGCTGTTAAATGGTTCAAAAGATGGTAAATTAAACCTCTTTTTGTCATCAAATCCTTTTAATTGCTTTCTGCTATTGATTATTTTGCAAATTGAAGAGTTATTTTTCATTTGAATGAGCTATTATTTATTGATTTGATATTTCGAGTACGCTCAATTTTTTTTTTATGTAGCATGCATGCAAATTGGATATCTTAACCAAGATTGTGACATGATTTAATTATCAATTTCTTTCTTTGTATCATAGACAATGTCAATGATCTGACCCGGAATTTTGTTTAGGGTACCTCAAGATGTTGTAGCAACTGGTGGGAAGTGCATGATTTTGAAATGGGTAAATGGTGAGTTCGATGTTTTTTTCCCCATATGTTTTTCTGTTATCTGATAGTTATTTGTAACTTTGACCTGAGTTATTTTCTTTTGCAATGGAAAAATATACAGTTCCTATACAAAGTGTCACGACTTGTTTAGCTTTGGAATAGAATTTAGATAAAAGCAGTATTGTTTCTTATATAATCTTTAAGTGTGCCTGTGATGAGTTAAATCCAAAGCTCTTGACAGTTTTTGTTTGGTGATAGATATATGGTCTATATTCGTTTTCGGATTAGGTTTTCTAGCATGTCTTGGAGACTCCCTTAACTATATTTTCATTACATTGTAGGTTGGAAGGTTAATATCTTGTGTGTACAGTTTATTTTATTTTAAATAATAGATTCTGTGCATAATTTAAAGGCCATAGGGAGGAGTGGTGAAAGAATCATCCCATAGGGGATTTTTGTTTTCATCTTCTTCTTTGTACTTTTCTCCGACCTAACCTTCCTCACCCAATTGTTTGGTTTATAGAGCACACCTTGAAGGCTTTGGATGATAAGGAGAAAGAGTCTGAAGCACCAGAGCCTGAACCAGAGCCTACTACTGAAGTTCTTTTCCTTTGCAGCTATGAAGGCTGTGGAAAGACGTTTATTGATGCTGGTGCTTTGAGAAAGCATTCACACATTCACGGAGAGAGACAATATATTTGTCACTATGAGGGTTGTGGGAAGGTATCTTGTTTAAGATTTCTACTTCTGATGAATGATAAATTCCTAAATAATCACTGTTACATGATGAAGCAGTTCTGATTTATGCTTTCTTGGGAACTATGTAAATGCTTAATTTCACCTTTAAAGTGTTTCATTGATGTTTGTTACTGTGTATTTGTGGCATATATGTATATTGTTCCATTGGTAGTTGCTAATGTGGTATACTGTTTGTTAACTCTGCAGAAATTTTTGGATAGTTCAAAACTGAAAAGACATTTCCTCATTCACACTGGAGAGAGACATTTTATATGCCCACATGAAGGTTGTGGAAAGGTGTTAAATCTATCTCACGCTGTTAAACATTTTCTTTTTAATATGTATAGTTTACATTCTTGTTCTGTTACTTGTCTTGGGCATCTTCTCTTTTGATGTGAAATTCTGAATTGCTCTTTTATAGCAGGAGATGGGAAAACTGAACCTTAATTTTAAACCGTATAAACTTGTTGAAATCGCTAAGTGGAACATTGTGATTTTTTAAACGTAGTTTTGTACAGTGCCTGATGATAAGGTTTTCTAGAACTGTTGTTTTTGCTTTAGAGGCTTTCTTTATTAATTTGCTTTTATGGCTATGGGCATATAGAGTTATAGACATAACATGCTTGCCCTTTATATTTGTTCCAAGTTCTGACGGATTTGGTTGAGAATGACAGGCATTCTCCTTGGATTTCAACCTGAGGTCGCACATGAGAACACATTCACAAGAAAACTACCATATCTGTCCATACGAAGATTGTGCAAAGAGATACGCTCATGAGTACAAGCTAAAGAACCACATTGCATCCCACCATGAAAAGGTTTGCAACATTGCTGTCATATCATGGTCTTATTTTGTATAACATGACATACATGCCATCTTATTAACCTTGAGACATTACATCCTTTCACCTTTGCATTTGATAGAACTCGACATCAGAAGTGGCAAAATATACCCAGCCTGTAGAGAAGATAATTAAAACATCAAAGTCTGCTGGTGGTGCCTATGGTTCTGCATCATCTGATCGCCCTTATGCCTGCCCTTATGAAGGTTGTGAGAAAGCTTACATACATGAATATAAACTAAAACTCCATTTAAGGAGAGAGCATCCAGGTCATATGTCAGATGAGAATGCCGAGAATGCCACACCTAATGCCGATAATGAGATGGATGAAGGCAGCGATCATGATACTTATGCTGGAAAGCGAGTTAATGGAAAAAGTCGGAAGCAGAGTAGGGCCAAGCCAAAGGTGAAGATGCCCCCTGCAAAGATTTCAAGGCAGAAAGGCTCGAGCCCTTCCCCTGCCACTTTGCCTATACCCAAAAAGCGAAGGCCAGTCAAAGAACAAGTATTTGAGGAAGAGGATAGCGAAGAAACAGAAGAAGACCGTAACAATGTAGAGGATGGATGGAGGTATAGGGAAAACAATGAAGAGGATGACGAAGAGACGGAATACGAAGACTAGAGCAGACTTACATAGTACTCAATAAATGTGGTGTTGGGTATTTAGCATCTGTTACAGGAAGCTATGATGTTGGGGAAAAGAGAATTAATCCCTCACCTTTTTCTTCCTAGCTTCTCTTTTGCCTTTTACAGTTTAAGGGTATGATTTATTAATATATTTTAGTATTATTTTTTTTTTGCTTGATGATGCATATCTCTGTTTGAGTTTTTCTAGTGTATGTGATCAACATCAAGGGAATAATCACATATCAAACAATGAGCTAAGTTTCTTTTGTTTTCGAGTCCCTGTATCTGATCAAATAGTTATTTAACCTAAACAAAATGTAGTTTGATTGACATTGTCGTTAGTATATTACACATAAATATATGAGATCAAAATATATTCAGACAGTTTCTGAACCAAAAGTATTTCGAATTTAAATCCAATTCGATCCGACTCTGAATCTCAAATTTCTTATGGCCACCATTTAAAGCTACGGAATCCTTTCCTCCACTCAAGTTCATCTAATCGCCTTATCAACCATCCATTCTCACCTCACCTTATCCCCTCTCTCTTCTGATCCCTTTTTCATTAATTTTCATCTCTTAGTTCATAAAATTTAAACCTTACCTTTCTCCTACACCAAATACAGCAATGGCAACAACAATCTCAGCCGCACTGTCTCAACCCACATTGGCTGCTGCCACGGTTGGCGGTCCGAGGAGAAGAGCTTCGGTCAATGTGAATTACATCACAGAATTGAATTCCTTTGATGGGCTAAAAGCTCACAACAATGTGGTCTCACTAGGCCAGTCGGTGTGCCTCGAGCAGTCGTTTGCAAAGGTCATGAGCTCGCTCAAAGTTCCTCCGAAGGGGAAAGGGAGAGGCGGCGGCGCCTTGTCTTCGACCTGTAATGCGGTGGGTGAGATATTCAGGATTGCAGCGATCATGAATGGACTTGTTCTTGTTGGAGTTGCTGTGGGGTTCGTTCTTCTTCGAATTGAAGCATCTTTGGAAGAGGCTGAGTGAGGGTAACCTTTTATTGTGTCATAATATGTCTTGCTTTTCTTTGGCAAATTTGTAATGTAATTTGCTTTCATTCTTCATGGATTTGGCACTTCGATTGATTTCAATTCCCTACTAAATTCGTATATTTTGAGCTATTTTTAAAATTCAAATCACAATTTTCTATGAATACATGAAAAGTAAAATAGATTACGATGCGTAAGGCAGTTTAGTAGGTGGTTAAAATAGATCATGTTGATCCATCATTGATTATGAATTTTTATAATTTATTTGATTGAATAGTCCACTTCTAATATATAGAATGAGTTCGATTCTTGGGAAGTAAGATTAATTTTAAAATAAAATTACGAAATATAAGATTACAAAAAATGATATCTTATTTTATTTGGTATATTGAACTGAAATATAAAATTGATGTTATATTACTTTATTAAATCATGGTTATAATATATATATATTTTTCATTGTTAATGTTTGATATGGCAACCATTAAAGAAAACGCCAGTGTGGTCATATTTAGTGATGCAACTTCATCTGTATGATTCATGGTATCATATATGCTTGAGTAATTAAACAAATATGAGTCCATATTTTCTATTCAACCAAAACAAATATTAATTTTGTCCCACCAAAAAAGAAAATAATTAAAAGATGCAGTCAACCAGTCCTCTCATCTCATCAACTTAGACCACTGACAATGAATTCCGGGATTCAAAGTTGCCAACAAAATAAACTATTAATTTGTCTTGGAAATCTGTATTACCCCCCACTTGCCGCTTCCATTAATGAACAAGAAATTAAAAGAAAAGGTAGACTGCATGCATGTTTGCTTTGGATAATGTCTAAACCTGTTTTTGTCGTCAAGGAGCTTAATATTATTATTCATACAATAAGGACTCAAGTAGCTGAATTAGCTTTGTTTAACGTTTTAAGTCATAGATTAATGGGTAAAGTACGAAAGTAATTAAATTATATTAAAATAAGCTTTTAGTTATTAAAATTTTAAAAATTATAAAATTATTATTATTATATTTATTGTCTAGGGTGAACACATATCCACTTTAAAATTCAAATTTTTTTATGTTAATTATTTATTTTACTGATAGTCTCCAGCTTAAAATTTTATTTATATATACTTAATATAAAATGTTTTTGTTATTAATATATATATATATATGACTGTTCTCAAAAATATTTTTGAAAATGTAATTGGATAAAAGGGTCAAGCGTGAAATAAAGAAATTGAAGCAGCGGAGGGCATGAGGTACTTGGGTTGCTGAAAATAATGAGGTTTTGAAGGACGAAATTTCCGGTGCTGAGTTGGCTGTTAATATAGAAAGTTTCAAACTTTGATCTTTGAAACTGAGACCATCATTGCCTGAGGATGTCAACCCAATACATGATTTTTTTATATAGGTCATATATTTTTTTATTACTATTTTGATTATGTAATGATAAATTAAGATTATTTATAAAAGAAATTCACTTTCAACATATTAAATAATTAATAATAATATCCCATAAACACCGAAATCTCAAACCAAACCATTGAATTATATATAAAAGATTTGAAAGCAGCTTAGAGTCCAGCAGATTAATTTCCAGTCAAAAGTGTTTGCGCTTGAAAAAGTGGAAGCCCAATTTGGTTGCCAAGCCCTCAAACAAATTATGGATTAATTACAGATTGCCCCCTACACTTTTTAAGTAAATTATATTTTACCCTTCGATCTGTTCTATCATTACTCATGGTATTTGAATAATGCCTTAATCATGATTAGACATGGCATAACTAAAACTTAAGGTCAGGGATAATACTATAACCAGCATTTGAGTCATGTTCATGGAAACCTACGACACTTTTTTCATATACATGAACGTTGCCTTCCAATTCAAAGCACGTGCTAGGCAACTTGTATTGGAATGTCCAAAAAGCCAGCATGTACAGACCCTAAACCCTTAAATATACATTTAAATGCAGAGTTGGAGGCCATCATCTTGGAATCGGCTGCGTCGCCGTGAGAAGAAAAAAAGACTAGCTCATAGTGTCGAATGCGTTTATGTATTTATTTCTGCTTCATTAAATAATGTAATTTTATAAAGTAGTAGGACTAAGTTATTAAATTATTTTCATTAAATTATTAGATATTAAATATAACAATTATTTTATTATTAAATTATTAGATATTTAATGTTATTACTCTCAAGAAAAAAACGTCACCTTGGAGGAACAAAATATCACTTTAAGGAGAATGGTTAATAATAAAATATTTCGGTTGCCAAATGCCATTACTTTTCAAAGCAACGTCGTGGGTTTCAGTCAATAAAATGCCATTTATTTAATGATTTTCTCGGCCGTCGATTTGGACAGAACTAAATTCCAACCAATAAAACATCTGAATTTTGCTCATGTCGTTTTCCATTGGTCAATGGATGTATTCCAGCTTTTACAAACTCTATTTTTTTTAATTATATTTTACTTTCTGTTCACTTTTCTTATCCTTTTTCATTTACACTGCCATTTAGCTATATTTTATCAAGCTCTTTTGCTACTCATTTTTATTTAATATCTAAATTTATTCTTTTTTCTTAACTAGGAATTTAATTTATTAGTTCAATTTAATACTAATGAGTTTTTAAAGATATAATATCAAAATTCGTATTTAATGTTTGACCGAATTATTATTTTGATTTTTTTATATATATATATATTAAGTTTTTGAACCCTTAATATTTCATTTTAGGGTAAAATAACTTCTTATTAGATGAAAACTATTAATTGACTAACGATAAATGCTTGTTGTTGACATGACACGTAACATTTACTACAACATCATTTATGTATACGTGTTAACGATAAACGTGACCGTTAGTCAACTAACCGTTTTCATCCAATCAATTATCATTTTTAACCCAAAATAAAATATTAAGGGTTTAAATACTTCCAAAGAAAGAATATAACCAAAGTGACTTTTTAGTAAACGTTAGAGGCTGATTTTTATATTATGCAAAAAAAAATATTGGTATATTATTTAGTCAAACTATGATTGTCATTTTAAATTAATCTTTAAATTTTAAAATATTATATATCAATCCATAAACCATGATATCCATTTGGTCCCTAAATTTTAAAACATCTTATATCAATCCTCTCTAACAAATCTTCCTATTTTGATCATTCCCTTAATGTATCATTACCTCTATTGATTTTAAAAGAGTAATATATTTTCAAGCTCTTAGGAATTGAACCCGTGACGTTAAAAAGTTTTTAAAACCTTTAAAAAATAGATTAATTGATTTGGAAGATCACATGGTCTCTTCTAAACATTTCAAAATAAATTATTATTTTTATACAGAAGAACTAATGACATATTAATAGAAGAATCAAAATAAAATGTTATTAAAAGTTTAAGAATTAATAAAAAATATTATAAAATTAATTTAAAATAAAAATATAATTTAAAGATTAATATATAAGATTTTTAAAGTTAAAAATTAGCTTAAAGTGAATATCTTAATTTAACGAAACCTTGTACAATTAAAAGAACATCAAACCTAGGCCGGTGTTAAGAGTTGTCTATCTCTATCCTTCAAGGCCGAATTTTTTTAATAGTATATATTAAATTTTGCAATTGGATCCTTTATTTTCAGACTAGACTTTGTAACTTACACATAAAGGAGACGTGTCCTATGAAATAATTTGTCAGATATTTTATTCAGATCACTTGACCACTATTTTGCTAATATTTCTGCTATAAATTCAGAAGCAATGCACTTCGAAATCTTGCAACTGAGTTAATCACTATCAATCAATCACCATGGATTTCTCTACTCTGTTGCAACAAAACATGGTTTTTACAGTTCTTGTTCCTTTAATCATCGCGGTCTTCATCTTCGGTACTATCAGCAGATCCAAAAGCAACCAGAAAGGCGATAAAAAACCGCCGCCGGAGCCGAAGGGAGGCCGGCCTTTACTCGGCCACCTTCACCTTTTCGGTGGAGACCAGCTCATACACCGAAAACTTGGGTCTTTGGCCGATGAGTATGGACCCGCCTTCTTGATCCGCATGGGGATCCACCCGACACTGGTGGTGAGCAGCTGGGACGTCATAAAAGAATGTTTCACCACCAATGACAAGGTCTTCCCCACACGGCCGAGGACGTTAACGGCGAAGATCATGGGCTACGACCACGCCTTGATGGGTTCGGCTCCTTATGGCCCCTACTGGCGCCACACGAGGAAAATCGCCACCGTCGAGCTCCTCTCCAACCGCCGTCTCGAGCTGCTCAAGCATGTTCGGGAAGCGGAAATCAACCTTTTCCTCAAACATTTGTACGAGGAATCAGTGGCGAACAAAGGCGTTGCTGTCGTTCAAATGAAGGACAAGTTTTCGGATTTAGCGATGAACGTTATAGTGAAGATGGTGACCGGAAAAGGATACAGCGGCCCCGATGGGAGAAACGACGAGGAATCCAAACGGTGCCAGAAGGCTTTGAATGAATTCTTTTACCTTGCCGGGTTGCTCACGGTGTCGGACGCTGTTCCTTTATTCGGCTGGATCGACGTTTTGACCGGAACCGTAGGCAAGTTCAAGAAAACTGCGAAGGAGTTGGATTATGTGCTTGGAAGCTGGGTTAATGAGCACCGTGAACGGAGGGCTGCCGGAAATATCAAAGGCGAAAAGGATTTCATCGATGTTATGCTGGATGTGTTGGACGACGGCAAGACTTCGAAAGAAGAGGCAGATATTACTATCAAGGCCACTTGTCAGGTACGTATACGTATAGATTTACATCAACCATTAAACAATTCTCATAATATCAAGTTTTCTTGGAATATACATAATATCAAAATTAACTCTAATGTTTATCAAAATAATCATTTTATTTTTACTTTTCTAAAACACTTTGACATCTATTGTTTCAAAAGATAAAAACGGTTAATTAATTATAATTAATGCATGCTATTAAAGAGATATTTTTATATTTATTAAATTATTTACGTATCATATATTATATTATTTAAAGTGATGATGTAATGTTACGTATGTCATATATCTTGTCATTCAAAATAATGATATGACATATGATTCGTTAACAATTAAGTATAGAAAATATTAGATTAGTAACATTCATCAATCATTAGTTAATTAATATTTTCTATTCAATATAGATGATTTTGATTTGAAACAAATGAATTAACCATTGAACAATTTTGATTGCAGAGTCTTCTGTTGGGCGGCAACGACACCACCGTGCTAACACTTACATGGGCACTATCTTTGCTATTGAACAACCGCCACGTGATAAAGAAGGCGCAAGAAGAACTCGAAGCTCAGGTAGGAAAGGACCGGCAAGTCGAGGAGTCCGATATGAAGAACCTACCATACTTGCACGCCATCGTCAAGGAAGCGTTGCGGTTATACCCAGCAGCTCCTCTCTCGGCGCCACGAGAAGCCATGGAAGACTGCACGGTTGCCGGTTTCCATATCCCGAAAGGCACTCGACTTCTCGTTAACCTTTGGAAGTTGATGAGAGACCCCAAAATCTGGCAAAACCCTTCGGAATTCAGGCCCGAGCGATTCCTTAACGAACATGCCGATTTCGATATCAGGGGTCAAAATTTCGAGTTCTTACCATTTGGTTCGGGCAGAAGGATGTGTCCCGGTGTGACGTTTGCGATTCAAATCTTGCACTTGACAATGGCTCGTTTGCTTCATGAATTCAACTTGGGGACGGTGTCGGATGAGCCGGTGGACATGACTGAAGCACCTGCATTGACTCTCCCTAAAGCTGAACCGTTGGTGGTTACCGTAACTCCAAGGCTATCTCCCAAGCTTTATGCATGAAATTATAGATGAATAAGCGTGGCAACTGGCAATTCGTATATTTATGTTTCTCCTTCTCAATCTTCTTCTTACTTCCCCCCCCTTTTGTACCGAAAATAATGTACTTTAAATTTCTTTTGTGCGAGAACACTTGATCATAATAATATAGTCATGTTTCCCCTTGCAACTAATTGTGTTGCGATCTGCATAAAAAATGGTTGCTTGGAATATAATAATTTCAGATTCCTTAAGGTATGAAACTGGTGTATGTTTCAAATGTTTGACTTAGTGAAATAACAATCACAAGAAATCAATAACCTAAAGATCACGGCATTATGCTAAAAAAGGAGATATTAATAATTTAGTCATTTCTAATGATAAAAGAAAATATAAAGGTTGACCTTATATAACCATGGCAGGTCGAAACAAGTGAGGGGAACAGAGATGGTCCGAACCGAGCCCAGAGGAGGCGGAACATGAAAGTATCAAGAACCTTGACCGTACTGGTTTAAGCCAATCAGGATAAGATCCATGAATTTTGCACAGGTAACGCCTCCCAATTCACAATTCACACTACTATATAATATAAAGTATACTTTTTTGTATGAATTTTACATAATATAAATGTCATACTCCAAATCTATTCAAGCTGCTGGTAAGGCTTAATATAAAAAAATGTCTAAACTATTACTTTTTTCCCGTTCAGGTGTTTAAATTTGTTTCCGGTCAATCTAGGTGTTTAACGTTACAAACGTTATCATTTTAAGTTCTTCGGTCGTAAAAAATGTTAAAAAAGTATGTTAAGTGACATGCGTCGTATTCAGATAATTTTAAAAATTTTATTTAAAAAACTTAAAAATATTTTTATATTAGAATAATCCTTAAATTTCTAAACCCAAAAGATCAATTCTGTTGTTAGCCGCTTCCACATTCGCCGGCCACTCCCACAGCTGTCACTGTCATCGGCCGCCACCCTTGTTGTTGTCCTAATACCTTAAAATCTCCAGTCCTTTTGTAATTCCCATTGTCATTGCAAAATTGAATCATTGAAGTCGGCCGCTATGGTTAGAACACTTAAATTGACCGAAAATTATAGGCACATAAATGGAAAAAACGTTATAATCTGAACATTTATTTTTATATTAAGCCTAAAATTAGCAATAAAGTTTTCCATATTCAAGCCGTTCAAAGGTGAAGAGAAAATTCATTCTTAATAAGATTTGCAGCTATCTGAATTTTCGCTTCAAAGGCAGTACCAAATGCAGTAAAAAAAAGTTGTTCAAAAGATGCATCTCTCCATTGGATACTGAATGTTAATTAATGGAATGGAAAGAGTGGAGGCCTTTCAGATACCATATGAAGCCATATACCTAATACAAGTTAATCGATAAATGCACATTTGTTTCGACTTGTTTCTGTACATACGTAAGATAAGATAAACGAGGGACTGAAATCTTGGGACCTTGATAATAGGTTTGAACAAACATTGTCTTGAATACACCGAAATTTCACGTCCGGACACACTTTTCCTCCCAACTCTAATCAACAGCAATTCCAACTTTCTACGGCTATCGATTTTCCCAATCCCCTGAATCATTGACAAAACCACGGATTCTTCCCTACTCAAGAGCCAACCCACTTTTACCATCAACAAAATCTTAGTTTCCAAAACATTTTAACCCAAAGTTAAATTTAGCATTTATTTAAGATAATTAAAAGTTGTACAAATTCTAACTAAAAAAATTTATATTATACTCATCTTCAACATCAAAAATACTATTTTAAATTTGAAATTCTGTGATATAGTTGAAAAAAGAGAAAAAAGCAAAAAAGCTTCCGTTCAACAAAACTAAAACTACTGATGTAAGTATAAATACACAATAAAATTATCAGATCTTATTATCTGTTTATATTATTTTATCTCTCTCTTAAACTGAGTTTTGGTTCTTCTAAAACTTGAGTTTTCAAGTAGTAACCGGTTGCTTCTCACGGGTGACACGCTCTACACTAATCGTTGCATCCACAACGTGAACAAAAGAATGGTGAAGACATTTATCTCTAAGACGACAGAAGCGGTGTGTCTTGCACCTTTTCGAAAAGCTACAAAAGCTTACATTTAAATGGGTTTTCGATTTCTCACTTCACCTGTATCGCTGGAGGCGTTTTTCTATGCGCGTGTGCCTTCGTATTAGGCGCGTTTTTTTTAAAACTAAGGCTGAGTTGAGTTGTTGTTGCAATATATGAACAGCTGTTATAGATCTCCTTGTGGATTTTTTGGGAGTCCAATTATGGATTTGATGTGATTAAGCATGGTTTATGGAGATTACACTTAAATTCCCATAGCCATCCCCTGCAACTGCAGTCAATCACAACACCACCAATACCAAGTTGCTTGAAAGATGCAAAACTGTATCATTGATTAATAATACGAGAAAGGAAAGCTTTCCGACATAAAGTTTCAAACAACAAATGAATAAACTATGCATCCATCTCATATTGTATTTAAGCTATCAAATTGGTTTACAATGTTCAATCAAGTATAACCAGTGTTACATAGAACCCCACGACAGCCAAGTTAAATTATTTTCCTCATCAATGCTGATTCAAATCAGAGAAAACAGAGAAATAATAGTGACCTTTAAAGCCTCAAGCAACGGCGACGGCTTGCCCTTTTTGAGGGTCGAGACCGTTGTTAGATTTGTTGTCGGCGAAGTCCTCGGCGTTGTAGATGACCGTGATGTACAGAGAACAGCTTGGGCAACGGGCGATTTCCTCGCCCAGCTTTAGGTCTTCCTTCGTGATCTGGAATAGATCGCCGCAGGGGCATGGATAAGTGTATGCCTGCAACTCCTCGTTCCAATGCATGTCCTCTATTTCCACGTCGTCGTACGACATCGTTCTGGATGATCAAAGTTGCAGGTCTTTTTTTTGTTGTTGCGAAGTTGCGTTGAGTTCGGACGGCGAAGATACCTCCGGCTTGTTATCATTTAGGTTTTAGGGTTTGTTTATATAGCGGCCTTTTAGTTATTGTCGGTTTATGTCGCGGGTTAAAGTTTTGGGGAAACTACAATATCATCCTTTTGAGTTGCAAGTATTGATAATTGCTCCCCATATAAGTTGTGGCATTATTATTATTATTATTATTATTATTATTATTTTGTAAATTTGGTGATTTGAGAAGGTAATTTTTTTATGAAACTTCAATTAAGTTCAATTAAATATTAGAAATCTTAATTGTTCTATTTTTCCTTTTGATGCTGCTTCTATGGACTATTTTACCATTCATTCTAATAACTTCACTCATTTTCATTTTATTTTTAAGTACAATTTATTGTTATAACATAAAAACAATTTTTTATATTTTAAATAATAAAAATAACTTAAAAGTATATTATATAATACTAATTAATTATTTGTATCTATTTAATGTTAATTATAATGTCAATAATTTATAAAAGTTGAAATAAAATCAATTTACATATATAATTATAAAAAATTAAAATTTATGATATAATTTAAGATTTGACCCAATTATGTGAATATGTTAAGTCTGCATCTCAATATATATATATATATATATATATATATATATATATATATATATATATAATTATCATCCATTCACCGATTGAACATAAAAGAGGAAACAATTATATATAATTTTATAAATAATACTCAAGTTTATCTATATTATCAAACCGTATTAAATATTTATATCTTCTAGATTAAGGAGTATTATAACTCTCGAATCAATTACAATGTATAAAATATAACCTCTAATAAGTTTACGTGATTTATTATAATAAAATTCAAGATTCAATTATTAAATTTATTTAACAAAAATAATCATAATAACCCTATGCCTAACTAAAATTATCATGATTCTAAAAGAATTCTCACTGAGAAGATGATTTTAACTTGTATCCTTTACTTCTCTTTTATGCCTTTTTATACCTTTATCTCCATTTAAATTAGAAAAAAAAATTACTAGTGAGAGTCGGTTAAACTGTTACCAATAACAAGTACTATAATGACAAATCTCATAAACTTTAGGGCCATTTATGACATAAATCAAGTGTATATAAAATAAAAGCAAGAAAGGGAAAAAACCAAGACGGAGACGCTTTTAAACGCCATCCGTGAGGCAAACAAGCGCAGAAGAAGAGAACCGATCAAAGAAATGCGAAGCTATAGATATCTATACAACAATGATGCAAGGATTGCAGCACCAACAACAGCAACTTGCGGCTCTCCTTTCCGCTGCTCTACCTAAAGACACCACCACAGCCGCCGCTACCGCTTCCGTTGCTACTTCCTCCTCCGCCACTGCCTCAACTTCGGTTCCCACGACAACAACGATTCACACTGCTTCGACCAAATCCGACGAAAACGAGTCAGCTCGACTTGCCGCTATTAATTCTCTCCACCGCGCCATTATTTATCCTCCTAAGGGCATCTCCAATGCTTCTCGATATTTGGAAAATATCTGTGGAGAAAAAACTCCTCCAACCCATCGTCATATCTCTCGCTACAATAGTGAAACATTACAGTCTGTGTCACATCTGACGTGATATTATAGCATGCGCTATAATTTTTTTTTAAATTTAAATAAATTAAATTACAAGATAAAAAAATACATTAAAATTATATATATAAAAATACTAATTGTTTTATGATTTTTTTGATTTTTTGTATTTTTTTTTATTTTTTCTGATTTTTTCATATTTTTTCTGATTTTTTTTTAAATTCAAGTAGATTAATTTGCAAGATAGATAAAAATCTATTGAAATTAGATAAATAAACATATTAATTTTTTGAAACATAAAAATTACAACAAACATAAAAATATAAAAAATACTAATAAAACTCAAACAACATTTTAACCAACAACTCAAACACAACAATTTAACTAATAATCAGATAAACTCTCCCAAAATTCATTCGAAAAGATGTCGAACGTGCATTTGGAGTTCTTCAAAGTCGATTTGCAATTGTGGCAAATCCAACATGTTTTTGGAGTAAAAATGATTTGAAAGATATTATGACCGCTTGTATAATAATGCATAATATAATAATCGAGGATGAACGAGATCTTAATTCTCCAATTGTTGAAGAAAGAGATGTGCCGCCTCCGAATGTCGAATTTGTTAAAGATGAGGACATTTAATTTCAAGAATTCTTTGTTCGATTTAGACAAATCAAAGATACAACTGCTTATTTTACTCTACGAAATACACTAATTGAATATTTGTGGAATGAATATTTTAATTCCGAGAATTAAAATATATAATTATGTAATTCATGTTTTTTTTACAATATTATTATGAAATGTAATTTTTTTTATTTATTTATATTTTTGTATTATTATTTATGAATATTTTATTTATGTTTTTTATTTTGATATTTATTAGAAATATATATATTTTATTTTATATTTTTAAAATTAATATTATAATAATTAAATATTATAAATAAAATAAATTTTAGAGATAGAGATGCGCTCAAGTAGAGATGAGCAGGCCTAACTCTATCCTCGTCGCTCAGTCCGCTTCTTTCCTTGCTCAAGGCTTCTCTCAACTTCTTTCTGACAAGTATAATTCTCTCTCTTCCTCTTGCTCGCTCGATGGTTCGGATTTAATTTTATTTGAGTTTCAATATTATTCGTTCTTCTTTCCTTTTATTTATTTTCTTAGTTTTCTTGTTATCTAGTATCAATTTAATCAATCATTGAGCAATGTTTAACTTCACAGGAAAAGAAGATTTGTTCTTATGTATGCTTGACCAATAAATGTTAAAATTTACAATTTTAAAGGATACTTACAAACTATAAATTTTGAGTTCTGTAAACTTTGAGATCATGCTTCCAATTAAAAAAGAAAAAGGAAAAACCTGATTATTAGAATATTGATTAATGTGTAGTTTGTTGAAATTTGTGGCAAAAATGTGGTCAGGTCATACTCGGTGAGGCAGTCTGCTGCTATTGCATATGGTGCTCCTTGTGCAGTTGTGTTCGGTTCCCATAGGATCAAGTGGAAGGCAAAACCATGTTATGCTCAGTAGTTTGGTGGACCGGTTCATTGGATGGGCTTTGCCATTGCTTAGTAATATTAGTGCTGGGGATGGGACCACCGAACTGGCCTTGGAAGGTCTACGTGAGTTTCATAGTGTTGGTGATGTGGGTGCGATTGAAAGATATGTTTTACCAATCCTCAAAGCATGCCAAGAACTCCTAGAGGATGAAAGAACTTCGTTGAGTTTATTACATCGACTTCTAGGTGTTTTGACCTTGATATCGTTGAAGTTTTCGCTGTCTTTCCAACCACATTTTCTTGACATTATTGATCTGCTTCTTGGGTGGGCATTGGTACCTGACCTTGCAGAAACTGACAGGAGGGTTATTATGGATAGTTTCTTGCAATTTCAGAAGCATTGGGTGTGTAATTTGCAGTTCTCTCTGGGATTGATGTCCAAGTTCTTGGGAGACATGAACGTATTGCTTCAGGATGGGACTCATGGAACCCCACAACAGTTTCGTAGGTTGCTTGCATTGCTTTCTTGTTTTTCTACAGTTTTGCAATCTACTGCATCCGGATTGCTGGAAATGAATCTACTTGAACAAATAAGTGAACCTCTAAGCAAAATGCTTCCCCGGTTATTGGGATGTTTATCTGTTGTGGGAAAGAAGTTTGGATGGTCAAGATGGATTGAGGATTCTTGGAAATGCTTGACACTATTGGCAGAAATATTACGAGAAAGGTTTTCCGCTTTTTACCCACTTGCTATTGGCATATTATTTCAGAGCTTAGAATTGGGAAATACTAGTCGACCTGTTGGAGCTGGGAAGATCACCTCCTTTTAAGTTCATGGAGTGTTAAAAACTAATCTTCAATTATTATCTTTGCAAAAGCTTGCCCTTCTTCCCTCATCTGTGAGGAAAATTCTTCATTTTGACGGAGCAATATCTCAGCTGCGTTTGCATCCAAATCATTTAGTCACTGGAAGTTCTGCAGCTACTTATGTCTTCTTACTACAACAAGGGAATGATGAAATAGTTCAACAAGCAATGACCTTGCTAATTGAAGAGCTGGAGCTGTTGAAGGGTATACTTGGAAAAAATAGTTCATGGAGAGGAGGTTAATGGTACAGGGGATTCTAGATCTTACTCAAAACTTGAGTTGTTTGCTCTGATTAAATTTGATTTGAAAGTTCTGTTAACTTCTGTTTCCTCGTGTGGATGTAACAGTTTGATTACCCAACCAAAGATTGCCACATTGTACCTTCAGAGGTCAGAAAATTTGGTTTCTTTTATCTTTGAGAAGCTGAATCCTTTTGAATTACCTATTCAGTTTTGTGTGGACTTGCAAGTCAACATTATCAAGACATTGGATAGGTTAAGTATGGTTAAATTCTTGAGCAAGTGTTCCATAAGAAATCAAAGTGGTAACATACCTGTTGGGGATGTTGCTGCTGAAAAAGTCCTTAACAGTGATAGAGATGTCCATTCAGCTGTGATTATTGAGTATCTCAGGGAGTGTGGCTCACTTCTTGTTAAAGCTCTCCGTGTTTCTTCTCCTGTTGCAGTTAAAATAGTAGCTTTGGAATGGGTACAAAGATTCTGTGAAAATCTCATTTCCTTATCTGAGAGTGCAAATGTGAGATATAATTTCTATGAAGACTTTGGATATGTTTCTCTTTTCGGAGATCTGATTTTCTCTATTTTGGAGGCTACATTTGACCGGGAACCAAAGGTCAGGCTAGACGTCACATTATCCTTGGAGCTGCTCTTGCAAGCTAGGTTGATGCCTCCCTTTTACTTTAATTCTGTTAGTGATGCAGTCCTGGAAAAGCTTGGTGATCCAGATGCTGACATTAGAAATGCATATGTTAGGCTTCTGTCTCATGTCTTGTTGAGTACAATATATGTATATGGTATATATGATATTGGAGCCTTTAGCAATCCCAGCCCCCGAGCTCTTTTGTTAGGCAATAATTCA